GAACAATGCAAATCTTGTTTAACAGGAATGCATCTGCTGGCCACAGGAGATCATCTTTAAATCCCTGTAATGAGTTCAGTAGCTGTCAAAACATTTTATGATAATTTGAGCTTAATTTTAACTGCTCTTGTAGCCCATTGTGCAGCACACACAAATCCACACTTAGTTAACACCATTGCTTTATTGATTGGCCTTGGTTTTCTTTCTTTCTTTCATTTTCTCTGTCTAATTTTGCAGTACTACAACTCTCCAGTCACCGAGGCAGAAAACTGGGCTCATCCCGACTCCTTATAACCTCTGTTCAGCACATTTCCCTGAATAGAATGTCTCTTCTCCATTGCTGTCCTAGTTCAGGCCCTCATCTTCACCTCCCTGGACCACGTCAACAGCTGCCTGCTGTGGCCCCTGTCCCCAGCCTTTTCTCCTCAGGCTCCTTCTCCACACCATCAAGCATCTTCTACACAAACCCACCTTTCAAGGGTCCGCACTGCCTACAGAATGAAGTCCAAGCCCCTGGAATGGCTTTGAGAGCCTCACCAGCCCCATCTCCTACCTCCCACTTTTAGCCATGACCATGACCTCCAGCAGCGCTCAACTTGTATTTTTGCTATGTACAGATCTGTTGGCTGTTTCTCCCTTCTGAGCATTTTGCTCAAGCTGTCGCCTTTGTCCCAAATGCCCTCCACCTCCATGTCCATCCCATCCTCCAGCTCCCCCACCCCAATTCCCTGCCTACTTCCTCATCATTCTTTGAGACACAGTTCAGATGGCACTTCCTCTGGGAAACCTGCCTCACCACAGGGTCAGCCCTCACCCTACTCCCGCTGGGGCAGGGGATCCTCCTCTCTGTCCCTGTGTCTCTAGGAACAAAGCTGATATATATATTAAAAAAAAATTTTTTATTGATTTTTAGAGAGAGAGGAAGAGAGAGAGAGAAAGATAGAAACATTGATGAAAGAATGGCCACTTCCTGCATGCCCCCTACTGGGGACTGGTCCCACAACCTGGCCATGTGTCCTGACTGGGAATCGAACTGGTGACCTCTTGGTGTGGGTTGATGCTCAACCACTGAGCCACACCAGCTGGGCCAAAGCTGGTATTGTTAAAACTGCATTACTGCAACCATCACTGCCCTCGCTACATTTTAGTGTAATTCTCTGTTGATACACCTGTTGTCTTTCTTTAGGATGTTAGCTCATTTTTTAAAAGTAGAACAGAAAAAAGTCAGTGGCCTGTAGTCAAATACACAAGAGATATGACCAGAAGGGCCATAGAAAACAATGCAAGTGAGCCCTGGCCAGTTTGGCTCAGCGGTTAGAGCGTCGGCCTGTGGTCCGGAGAGACCCGGGTTCGGTTCCCGCTAAGGGTACGTACTTCGGTTGCAGTTTGTCCCTGGCCCTGGTTGGTCATGCGGGTGGCAGCCACTCGATGTGTCCCTTCACGTCGATGTTTCTCTCTCTCTCTCCCTTCCTCTCTCTCCCTCCCACTCACTCTGTACAAAAAATGGAAAAATATCCTCGGGTGAGGATAAAAAAATAAAAAAGAAAAAAGAAAAAAAGAAAACAATGCAAGTGGCCCTTAAACATATGAAAAGATGTCCAATCTTGCTAATAACAAGTCACATGTAAATGAGTATGTTATTATTACTTACCTTCCACAGTGACATGAACCCAAAAGTTTGACATACTCTGGGTGAGGCTACACAGAAACAGTCCTTCTCAGACACTGCTGTTGGGAACACACAGAGAACTGGGCACTATCAGGCAAGGTTACTGATGCTTTCAGTCTTTGGTCTGGCAATTACACGTCTAGAAATCTATCTCAGAGAAGTACTGTACACTAGATGAAGATGTATGCAGGAAGCTATGCTGGATAGCACTTTTTGTAATAGCAAAAACATTGGAAACAGCCCACACAACCATTAATAAGACGATTGGTTGAATAAATTCTGACAAATCCATACAACAGAGTACTTCGAAGCTGTACAAAAAATGAGAAATATCTTTATGTAATGTCATAGAGTGATTGCCAATGTGTTAAGTGAAAAAGCAAGGTAGAAAAACATGTGTGTAGTTTGCTACTGTTTGTCTGAGAAAGGGGAGGATATGATTATACGTGTCTATTTATACTTTTTACAAATTCTTCTACAAGAAAAAAAAGTAACAAGATAGAGGTGACAAGGATAAAAACTAGACTTCTCTAAATATTCTTGATTTTAAGGATTTTACTTGGGAACCAAGCAAATATTTTATTTTATTTTATTTTATTTTATTTTATTTTATTTTATTTTATTTTATTTTATTTTATTTTATTTTATTTTATTTTGTAGTACGTGCCCCTAGCAGAAACCGAACCCGGAACTCTCTGGTCCACAGGCCGACACTCAACCACTGAGCCAAACTGGCCAGGGCCCAAGCAAATATTTTAATTATAACTTTTTTTTATCCCTAAGAAACAAAACAAAACAAAAAACATGAACCTAGATATATATTGAGCTGGTGGAATAATCTTACAGGAAGGACCTGACTCTGATTTTTCTTCTCTCTCTCACTTCCCTCAGCCTCTGCCTCAGAACTGCTGACCCTCAGCCCACACGGATTGTGAGATTTGTAACACTTGTCGAGGCAAAGCAGAAGCCTGCATTTCCCATAATGGGATCCTGGAAGGCCCGCAGCCAGAAACCACAAGCTCCTTTATTTTCTGCTTTTGTTTCTAAAAAATTAATTTTCCTCATTCGGGCTTTTCTTGCTTTCTCTTTGCAGCATGGTGAAAACCACAAGTGACCTACCCATGGGCAGGTTCCTGTCTTCCACTCCGAGGTCTCCGACTTGGATGACGTGCAAAATGGTAGTGCTGAGGACACCAACAGGTCATTTTCAGAGGGAAGCTTTCACCTGAAGATAGAGACCCCCTGACTATAGTCACCATAACCGGGTCGCCTCAGAAAGAACAGGAAAGCATCTGAAACTGCAGAGGGCCCACATGGAGGTGAAAAACAGAGCAAGAAGGTCACAACCAAAAAAAATGACAGGAAGGTGTTTTCTGCTGTGGGCCGGTCTCCACGGCCTGACTGCGGTGGCCGGTGCTGGGAAGACGGTCATTCTCCGTTAGAAGGGATGCGTGGCTGAGACGGGAAGCGCCCCTGTGTAATGCATCCCTCGCACTCACCTATGCCATCTGGTTGTCACAAGTCACATTTTCTCAAAGTTGGGGGACAAGATGGTTGTTTGGGATCTACACCTGCAAATAGAAAGAGGCTGAAGTAGGACTGAGCAGAGGAAGAAGCTGAATTGTGTTGGGGGCTCAGCAAAGCCTCGGCCCACCAGGTGTAAAACTGTCCGCTAGCAGGAGAAATGACTGGCTCTTTGAGCCCCATCTCACTTAGTCACCTGCCCCAGGTGCCCCAGGAAGGGCCTGACCTCAGGTGAAAAGGAAAAAGGCGGCTCCCTGCAGTTGAAGCGGACCCTGAACTTGCTGACAGCGGGAGGCTGTCTGCCCACAGCATTCCCCGCCGCTGAGATACAGCCCTTCCTTGAAGGGGGAGCTGGGGGGTGCCTCTCTCGGCCTAACATACCAGCAAGCCTCTCCATGGTCAGCATAGCGTGGGGTTTCTTTTTAAATCCTCACCCAAGGACATTTTTGCATGTATCTTCAGATAGAGCGGGAGGGAGAGAGTGGGGAAGGGAGAGAGAGAAACATCGATGTGAGAGAGACACACCGACTGGCTGCCACCCACATGACCCCAGCTGGAGCCAGGGACAAACTACAACTGAGGCACGTGCCCTTAGCAGGAATCGAACCCGGGTCTGTCTGGTCTGTGGGCCAACGTTTTAACTGCTGAGCCAAACCAGCCAGGGCAACATAGAGTGTTTTTATGTTTATTTCTCTCAACAAACAAAAGGTATTACATTTTCAATAAAGAACCCCGTATACTTAGTGTTGAATTTGAATTACTGTTAGAATTTATATATGCCTGGCCGGTGTGGCTCAGTGATTAAGCGTCGACCCATGCATCAAGAGGTCACCGGTTCAATTCCTGGTCAGGACACATGCCCAGGTTGTGGGCCAAATCCCCAGTGGGGGGCATGCAGGAGGGGGCCAATCGATGGTCTCTCTCATCGATGTTTCTATCTCTCTTTCCCTCTCCTTTCTTCTGTCTCTAAAATCAATAAAGAAAAAAAATATCCATAGGAGAAGATTGGATACATTTTAAAAAGGGGGGTGGTTTAAAAAGATAAATATACACAAGATAGTAAAGAAGTTAAAGGGGCATGAAGGAGAAGATACTTAGCTATGTCTGCAGGCATCCTCCTAGAAAAGGAGGTGTGAGCTCTGAGGACAAGAAATGTTTGCATATAAATATTATAGGAAGAATAAATTGCATGTGTAAAGGCTCAGAAGAATGAAAGAGCATCGCACATTATGAGGACCGTAAATAGATTGCTTATGACCAAGGCATAGATTGTGTTTAAAGAAGTATTGGAACTTGGGGTTGGGAGGAAATATATATGCAATGATATTATTCATTTATTAATATAATTTTAATTTTATTAAACATTTTATCACCCCAAGTTTCTCAAATGTATTTAATCATGGTTTGAGTTTTTGTGTGTTTGTTTTTTGCAATAACATCCCTCTGCAGAATGTTCTTTGGTCAATGTGGATTGAGCCTGCCAAGTCACCTGTGACAAGACCGTTCTAAAAATTAAATATTTATTTAATTTCTGAACAGGTCTGTTCTGCCTTGATATTGACAGGTAAGGAAAAGATATTATTGGATGTAATTCTTGGGAAGGCTACCACTGCATCTGTCTGTTCTTGGAAATTGGAATACAGAACTCTGCTGGAAGGAACACCCCGTTAAGAGTCCTTAGCAACCACTCAGTTCAGGTCACAGACAGGGAGCACGAAGACCACAGAGTCTCTGACCGTTACTGGTGTGGAAAAACTGGTCTGAGGAACTGAGAAAGAAAACCCAGTGCACAGTTCAGACCTTGGCCATGGCGTCTGTTGCATATCGAGAGCCCATATCGGCCACTGTGGGAAAACGCATGATTCTGACAGGTAAAGAGATTTTCCGTACGATTTCACAAAGCCATCTGAACTTTCATTATTCCTCACCCATATGATGGTCACATATGATACTCACATAATGGATACAAGAATTGGCCCTGGCCGGATAGCTCAGTTTGTTAGAACGTTGTCTCCATACATCAAGTTTGCAGGTTTGATCTCCAGTCAGGGCATATACAAGAATCAACTAATGAATGCATGAATAAGTTTCTCTCTCTCTCTCATCAATCAATAAGTAATAAAGAATGGAATAATCATGTGAGTTTATTTCACATGACATTGCTGCTCTTACTATGCACACTCAATCTGGGCATCCATAAACACCGTGCTGCTATAAACTGCTCTGTGACATCCCAGTTCTCACTATATCTGAGCTAACTTTCACAAAGGAACGTTTTTATATCCTAAAGTTCATTTTGTGTAAGAGGATCTGATGCTAATAAAAAGTATACTTTGGCCCTGGCCGGTTTGGCTCAGCGGTTAGAGTGTCGGCCCGTGGACCAGAGAGTCCTGGGTTCGGTTCCCGTAAGGGCACGTACCTTGGTTATAGTTTCTCGCCGCCCCGGTTGGAGTCATGTGGGTGGCAACCAGCCATGTGTCTCTCTCGCACTGATGTTTTTCTCTCTCTCTTTCCCCCCTCCCTCCCTCTCTATTTGAAGATAAATGCAAAAATATCCTTGGGTGAGGATTAAAAAAAATTTTTTTAAATAAATAAATAAGAAGTATACTTTGATCAACTTGTAATTATTTATGATTTAAGCTTCACATACTTTTATAAATTTGACATCTTTGATTGATAAAAATCTGAGCAAGATGTGCATTTAACCTAGTAAAAGTGTTTACTTGTGTTTGGTTCCTTCAACTTGTTTAAAATGATTTGGGTGGTGTGTGTCTGTAGACTTGCAATAAAATGTAATTAAATAGAATATGACTAGTTGTGATAAGTCTATGGGAAATAAACTAAATTTCACCTTATTTTCTTTATACTTTTAAACCATGACATTTTGCCTTGGCCGGTTTGGCTCAGCGGTTGGAGCGTCGGCCTGCGGTCCTGAGAGACCCGGGTTCGGTTCCCACTAAGGGCATGTACCTCGGTTGCAGTTTGTCCCCGGCCCTGGTCGGCTGTGTGGGTGGCAGCCACTCGATGTGTTCCTTTCACATCGATGTTTCTCTCTCTCACTCTGTTCCTCTCTCTCCCTCCCACTGTACCTGAACAAAAAATGGAAAAATGTCCTCGGGTGAGGATAAAAAATAAAAAAAAATAAACCATGACATTTTATAAGCATGTCCCCTTGCTTTTATCCCACTCATCATGAGAACTCCGGCCCCATCTATTTGCCATTGATTTAGTTCTTTAAGTATACATATATACAATATCTGAATTGTTAACCTGCACTCCATGAGACACACACACATACACACACACACACACACCCTTTATTAACTGGAATAATGTGCTTCTTTGCAGTTCCTTTTGCTTAAAACTTAAAGGTTCTACTCATTTCCAGTTACTTAGGTCAGCTCCTTTCTCCCACACCCCTTTCAGTGAGGTTTTGTCATACATTTGTAATACAGTTAGATTCTCTTGTCATGGTCTGAATTTTTTCTGGAATCTTCTAAATGATTTTTTAAAAATATGTGTACATTAAGGTTTGCTCTCTGTGCTATAAAGTTTATAGGCTTTGACAAATCTATAGGTTACATATCCATCATTTTAGAATCATACAGAATAGCTCCATCACTCTAACATCCCCTGTGCTTCACCTACTCATTTTCCTCTTTTCTCTTCCCAAGATCCTGGCAACCACTGACCTTTTCCCTCTCTATAGTTTTGCCTGAATGTCATGGAGCTGTAATTGTACATTATGTAGGTTTTTCAGATTGGCTTCTTTCACTTGCCAATATACATTTAAGGTCCCTCTTTGTCTTTTCGTGGGTTGATAAGCTCATTTCTTTTATCACTGAATAATATTTCATTGTCTAGATGTACCATAATTTGTTTATCTATTCACCTATTACAGTTCTTAGCAATTCTGGAAAAAGCTTCTATAAACATGTGTGTGCTGACTTTTCTGTGGATATGGTTTCAAATCAATTTGGTAAATACTCAGGAATGTGACTGCTGGGACACATGGTAAGACTGTTTCCGTTTGTGGGAAGCTGCCAAACTGTCTTCCAGAGCTGCTGTGCCATGATGCATTCTCACCCGCAACGAGGGAGAGTCTTTGTTGCTTTGCACCCTTGTCAGCATTTGGGATTGTCTGTTTTTTACTTTTAGCCATTCTAATAGGTATGCAGTTACTCCTCATTCTTGTTTAATTCACAGTTCCCTAATGAACGATGATCACATGCTTACTGCCAGCTGTATATCTTATGGTGAGATGTCTGTTCATAATGTTTGCCTATTTTCTAATTGGGTTTTTTCTTTTCTTATTGTTGAGTTTTAAGAATTCAGTGGATATTTTGGATACAAGTCCTTTATCATATAAGTGTTTTGAAAATATTTTCTCCAAGTCTGACTTATGTTTTCACTCACTTAACAGAGTCTTTCATAGAGCAGAAGTTTTTAGTTTTAATAAAGTACAACTATCAATGTTTTCTTCCACGAATCATGCTTTTGATGTTGTATCTAGAAACTCACCCCCAAATCCAAGGTCACCTAGATTTTTTTCCTATGTTTTCTTCTAGAAGTTTTATGGCATTTTGTTTTTGTTTAGGTCTATGATCCATTTAGAGGTGATATTTGTGTCTCAAACTTTTCATTTCCATCAGCCAATAAATTTCTTCTTTGTCTTAGGTCAGTTTTCTGTCATTTGCAACTGTGTGTCTTAATTAGTACTTCAAATTTCTTATAATTTATGTGGGTGTATTCTTAGTTTTATGTATTTACATAGTTCAAATTCTTGTTACCTTTAATATATTTATGATCTTTCATTATACTAATATATAATAATTATATTATATTGATTATAATATATCAATTATTCTATTAATGTATTAATAATATATTGATTATATTAAATTAATTACATTGTGTTGCTATATAATAATTAACTTCACATTCTCCTTTATTTTATATTTAATTTCCAAATTTTCACTGTCATAATAGAGTTACATGAATATTTTCACATACATTATTTTTCTCTTTCTGTTATTTTTTTGTGGCACATTTACAAATGTAGAATTAGTAGGTGAAAGATATAGACCCTTGTTAGCACAAACTGGAGAATTGTGCAAACTACTATGAAAAAAGTATATTTAAAGGCTGGAAATATTATTAAATGACATTTATTTATATTTAACAACTGGAGAGATAAATATTAATCTTTTTGGATATAACTTTAAATTTTTTTTTATTATGAATGAATTTAAACATGTGGCAGTAAACTCCCACTTACCTGTCACCTATAATCAACAACTATCAAAATTTTCCCACATTTATTTTTTTCTTATTTATATTCTTTTTTCTTTTTCTCTCATTGAAATATTCTAAAGTGAATCCTAGACATCACACTATGTCACTCCTATATATCTTATTGTGCATTTCCAAAAAAATATGAACATATTCTTAAATGACCACATTGCCATTGTCACTCCTACCAAAATTAACAGTAACAAAATTTTCCTCATTGTCTCTAAAAATGCATTTTTACAGTTGACGGTGAGAATAAGGATCCAAACTCTATATGTTGTATTTGATTATGTTGTCTTTCTCAGTCTTTTAAGCTTGTGCAGTCTTTCTTCTTTTTTTTTAATTCTTACCCAAGGATATTTTTACATTTATCTTCAGACTGAGTGGGAGGGAGAGAGAGAGAGAAACATTGATGTGAGAGAGACACAGGGGACGAACCGCAACTGAGGTACGTGCCTTTAGCTGAAATTGAACCCGGGACTCTTTTGTCTGCAGGCCAACACGCTAACCACTGAGTAAAACTGGCCAGGGCTCTTTTTTCCTTTTTTTTGCCATTTACTTGTTGCAGAAATTGGGTCAGTTATCCAAGAGAAACATGTTCTAATGTTCTGAATTTTCCTAGTGGTTCCTTGTCATGTCATTTAACTTGTTCCTCTAGCCTCTGTATTTTCTATAGTTTGAATTTGGCTTTAGATTCAGTCCTTGTGGAAAACTCATGTCTTGGATGCTGCTGTGGTCAACACACAACACACTTTTTTTTTTTTTTCCCCCAGAGTAAATAGGTTAGCTTTTATTACACAAGAAAGAACACTAAAGTTTTTTTTCTACAGTTAGCTCACAGTATGGTTGAACTAGCTCTGGCCAACCTTGTCCTTTGCCTCGTAAAAAGGGAATGTTTTTATAATTTCGAATAAAAGTTGTATTTCCCTTATTTTCATATCAATATTAAGAGAAATTGACTGCCCCTTGAAGAGCGGGATATGGAAGAGAGTGAAGTAGGAGTCTAGCAATGTTTTAGGCTTTATTCTACCAACTGTAGATAAAGCCACAGCCCCTGCCTTAGAGTGAGGCAGGCAGGGCTTGGAGAAGGTGGTTGGTCGTCCATGCTCCAGGTCCCCAAAGCCCACCTTCTGCTGCCTGCCAGGTCAACCAGTTGGCTGGCTCTTCTACATACTTAAGGAAAGCAGAGCAGGAGATTTCATTTTTGCTTCTTTCCCCCTCCTCGATTTTCCCTCCTTTGAGTGCCAGAGGGTTGTTTTCAGCCTTGGCTGGTGTGATTCAGTGGTTAGTGTCTCGGGTCTTGGGTTTGTAACTGGGTTGCAGGTTTGATCCCTTGCCCCAGGTGGGGTGTGTCGAGAGGCAACCAATTGATGTGTCTCTCTCACATCAGTGTTTCCCCCTCTCTCTCTTTCCCCACTCTCTCCCTCCCTTTCACTCTCTCTAAAAAATCAGTGGAAAAAATATCCTCGGATAAGGATATCCTTGAGCGAGAATTAACAAAAAAATAAAAACTGCAAAACTGTTATTCTTGGGAATATTTTAGATCTTGTTCCCTGGCATATGTTGTTTGGACGTTTCT